GGGCAAATGCTCGTGCAATTAATGCTGAAAACCGAGTAGCAGATTTGCAAACCCAGCTAACAAATTTGCAAACCCAGATAGCTGATTCACAAACCCAGATAGCTGATTCACAAACCCAGTTAGCCATGCTTCAAAATGATTATGATCTTCTTTATCAAGCTTATAGAGCCCACAAACTTAATTATCACTTATTAAAAGCAACTTGTATAGAAAAAAATAAGCGTATATCAGAGCTACTCCAAGAAAAATTTGTATCACGCCTTTTAAATAGACAATTTCAGATTCAAGCCCAGCAAAACAGCCAGCAACTACAAGATTATAAGATGGATGGGACAATTACTACACATCTCTTAAATCTTACAACAAATTGATACAATAAGTGGAAAAATAAATGCAAGACTCTAGAAAATGATCTATTACTTACCGATGTTCAACTGGACAACAAGTGAAGTAAGTGGAAAACTCAGGCACAAAATTTCGAGCAATTAATTTTGAATTTAAATCAACAAATTTTTACGCTACAGAATAATTTACCTATAAATATACAAGCAAATATGGCATTACAACCACTACCACTACCAAATTTTTCAGGTGAATATGATGAGGATATTGATATTTTTATTAGTCGATTATCGTCATATTTAGCTGGCACTGGTATAGACCCAGTTGCCAATTGGGATCAAGCATTTGGTATTTTTAAAGGGTGTCTACATAGGCAAGCATTAGAATGGTTTGATCGAAAAATTCTTGGTAAACGATGGGAACTTCACAATATTTTTGCAAATCATAGCCAGGCTGGTATGGGTGCTCTTCAGGGATGCACTATGGCAGAGATGAATACTAGTAATAGCTTTAGAAATCCTTCAATTGCCCATGACTATGCAAATACTGCTGGTAATAATGCAGTAACCGTAGGTGTTTCTATGATTTCAGCTGAAGCTTTTACTGAAGATTGGCACTTAGCTGGAGGACATCTATCGGATAGACCTGCTAATGCTATTAATGCAGGTAATGCTAATCCTATAGTATTTGGTAACATTCAGATTGGCCAAGCATTATATTGGCTCAAAAATAAATATCCTACAGTAATAAGTGAAAAGCGCAATTTAGTTTATGGATCATTAGCTCAGAGGGGTAAACCTATAGGAGACTTTTACTCAAAACTCTTAAAATATGGAAAAATGCTTAATCTTGATGAGCAACAGATTAAGGGACAATTTTTAAGAGGTTTGTCTCCAGACTTGGAGGATGATGCAGAACGCATTGGTACTGAGCAACCATTAGCTGATCTTTTTGAAATTTTAGAGCGAATTGAAATGCGAAGAGCAGAGAAAAAATTAGGATTAGTTAGTAAAATACCCCAGTCTAGTTATAAATTGTCATCTAAATTAATAACACCTACACAATCCCAATCCGTTTCTTCACAATCAGCTCCTCAGCAAATACAGCTATCACAACCATTGCAGACATCTCAACCTTATTATGAACCACAACCTCCTGGCACATATCAAAAAATGCAAGATATATTAATAGACAGATTTGTACAATGGATTACTAGGGAGGTTTCAGAATTTGTTCCTATCTCCAAGCCTGATTTGCCTCCAAAACCAGTAATAAAGAAAGTTGAAGTTGACTCCAATGATGAATTGGCCAATCTTACAAAGAAGCAGTTGAAGTTGCACGTAGCTAGGGCTATTAAAAAAGCTACGAAAGCACAACACCGTTGCTCAAACTTTAATAGGACTGGACATAATTCTAACAAGTGTCCAAGAAATAAAAAGAAAAGTAGGTCCAAAAAGAAAAGTAATATTAATAAGGTTACTCTAGATTCAAGCTCAGATACTAACAATTCTTTTGGTAGCAATTCTGGATCTGATTCCTCCGATAATGAATCCAAGTCTGAGGAGTCTTCATCTGAAGTTGAAAGTATGAATGTTAACATTAGCAAGATAAAAAAAAAGTAAAGAAATCTGGCTCACAAAATAAGGATGCTTACGTACCTAAATTATCCTCTAAGAAAAAATCTAGTCCAAAAAAACATACTTCACAAAAGAAATCAGGTACGATTATTGACTCACAAATTTGAAAAATTATTCTAGCTATGTTTAATGATCCAGAGGTTATAGAAACAATTAAAAACAATATTAATAATCCAAATTTATCTATGACTTGAAGAGTCGCCCCTAAAGGGCCTGCAAAACCTGACTTTATAAATTATCGAGAGCTGACCCCAGAAATACCCGAATCAGATAGTGAAAAGGAGACATTAAATGATCCTATGGAGATAGATTTTGTTCGAAGAAAGGAACCTACCACAAGCCTTGTAACTATACCAGTTAAAATCAAACATTTAAAAATTCCAGCAATGGTCCTTGATAGTGGGGCTGAGCTTCCAATTACATCGGAAGACATTGTTAAATGAGTAGGTTAGAAAATTGATAAATCGGTAAAGTATGATCTTAGTGGTGTTGCTACTGTTCCAACAGAATTTATCAGTATCGCTCGTAATTTCCCAATAACATTACCTCCAGGTTTTACTATAGATGAAGATTTTGCAGTTGTACGTGTCTCTAAACCAACATTGATATTTCCAAACCCACTTCTCAAGAAATATAAATGTGAAATAGATTGGGGTAAAGATGAGTTGAAAATTCCTTTTAATGGAAAGGATCACATTATTCCAGTTACTATGCACAAGATAAAAAATAATCTTGAAGTAAATTACGCTACTGCGACTCAAGATGGCTCACATAACAAGGATACTATTACATCTAAGCCTTTGGTATTTGATCAAATTTCACAGGAAGTAGATAGTGATAAGGATGACAGTATACCATTGGAGGAATGGCATGCTCCTGCAGGTTTTAGCTCAGATTCTGTTGATTTGTCATTAAAAAAAAACGCATGAGCTATGAGGAGTTAGAAAAATCACTATATACTACCCTCACGTTTAAAGCTGAAATAAATGATCTTTGTGAAAAGTTGCAAATACGTTATGAAAAGCTACTCAAACATATCTCCTCTAGAGATGATAGCGTAAATAAAGAAAAGATAGACTAAGTAGTAGCTAATAGGCGAGTCATATTTGCTTTATTTTTCTCATATCTTCTGGCTTCTTTTTTATATAATGCATCCAGATCCTCACTACTTATTTTTTCTATAGAGTTATTAGTAGGTGTTGAATCAGATATGTGAGAGT